CAGTGGCAGGGAGAGGCAAAGCAGGAAGTCAGCAGCTGCCAGGTTCTTCATGTAGACCATCAAGCTGCTCAATGTCTGCTGCTGACGACGAAAGTAAAATTTCATGATGAAGCCATTGAGGGGTAAACCCACCTGAAAGGACAGAGATGAAGAAGGCAGGAGTTTAGTGCATGCACAGCGATCTTTAATAACATTTCTGACAGAACATAATCTGAAGATTTGAAACATACCAGAAACACCAGACTGTAGACCAGCATAAAGAAAGAGTTGACTGATGTGGCGACAACATCACACGTCTGGCTCAAAGTTGAAGTCATATTTTTTAAGTCACTCATTTTTCCCAAAGCTGAAAAATAAATCTGCCTTCAGAGATCCCTCTTTCATAGTCTCTTAGTGTTAATCAGAGTCCAGTTTTAAATGTTGCCTTTAAGATTCAGTAAAGCTCTCTTTATACATGCTACTTTCTGGAGGAGTTTACTGAAAGTTTAATTCTATTCAGTGTACAGTTGTCTCAGGTTGCTTTCCCTACAGTCTTGCAGCTTTGAAGACAAAGTTGAAAGCTTAACATGCAAGTACAGAAACCACTGTTAGATGTCATCTCTCATCTTTAGCCTACATATGCAATCCAACACTGACTCTTAACTGACCCATTACTCTGAACATTATAAGCTGTTTTCTATACCAGCATTTAACTGGATATAATCCTTATCAAGAACTTGTGACATGGGATTGGTGCACAATTTATGAAGAAATATCCACGTGCAGAGAAGAAATTCCTGAATATATTACATTATTGAATATACAATGCTACGTACAATGGTGTGTTCATAATGAATGCTACAAATGAGTGTAAGGTTGATTTTCAGGTCAGTTAGCATTACTTGGGCCTTTGTCAATGACAAATTTGTTATAGTGTTACAGGTTTCCCATTTGGAACACAGTCAGAAGCCAACGTTGGCATTGAGATGGCAGTACAGAAGGATTATACACTGCTTCTCTTCTCATGAGTCAGGAGCTGGTTAAATCATATTTTTAGTTAAGCATGAAATCACTAAAAGTACAAAAAAACTTGAGGTTGAACAACGAGCAAGACTCACCTTTATTTCTGCAGTTTTCAGTGTGCAGGAATAACTGCTTGAGCTGTTAGGTGTTCTTTTATAGTACTGCTTTAGATCAGGAAACAAACAGTGATCACACTTCTATACTGCCCGCTAACTTATTTCCTGTTTGCCTTCACTGCAAAATAGTGCAACATATTTAAAACACAGAAAAAAAAACACAGTGTCATGCCCTTTGCAGCCAAGAAGAAAAAAAAAACATGTAGGCCATGCACTGACTACTGTAACCTGAAGAGTAAGTATCCTTTGCCACTCGTTAGATCTGCTCTGGAGCCTCTCCAGTGTTTGACCTCTGAAACATTTTACACTTGGTCCATATCAGGGAGGAGGATGAATGTAAGGCTGTGTTTAACACATTCTTAGGACATTTTGAAGATCTTGTGATGGCTTTTTGGATCACAATTGCACTTGCAGTCTTCCAGGACTTATTTAATGATGTGTTAAGGGGTGGCTGTAGCTCAGGTGGCAGAGCAGGTCAGCCACTAATCAAAAAGTCGGTGGTTCGATCCCAGGCTGCCTCCTGGCTGCATGCCAAATATCCTTGGGCAGGATACTAACCCCGTGTTTGCCTCCTGGTGGTGGTCAGAGGGCCCGGTGGCGCCAGTGTCCGCAGCCTCGCCTCTGTCAGTGCGCCCCAGGGCAGCTGTGGCTACAATGTAGCTTGCCATCGCCAATGTGTGAATGTGTGTGTGAATGCCTGAATGTAGTGTGAAGCGCTTTGGGGTCCTTAGGGACTAGAAAAGCGCTATACAAATGCAGGCCATTTACTTCTTGAACATTTTGATTTTAGTTCACTTGAATTATATTCTGATTTTTTTTTTTTGAGTCTCTAAACACTGGGTAGGCTGCAACCTTGTGCATTATCCTCCTATCAGTTAACCCCCAAAGAACAAAATTAGAATGTGGGGTGATTGTGAACTACTCAAGGTTAGGCTGGAGCTGGACAAATGGTGACGCTGGTTGGAGGGAGCTGAACCGCCTTTTCTCATAGAACAATAAAAGCAGTACCAAATGACACTTCCTAGCCCTAGAAAAACTGCCCACAGTGTCACACACCTCTAAATTATTTATTGACCGTGTTTTCAAACTACATCAAATTCTAATAGAAGTTGTGCCTGACAGAGGACTGTATAGACAGATCTCACCATGCATTCACACATCACTTCCAGCAGAACTGGTGGATCTGGACACAGACCAGAGAGGTGAAAATTGGATACCCCAAAGGTGGAGAATGATAAGGCTGAGATCATGTGGGACTTCAAGATGCAGATGGATGACCTGGAGCACTCAGGGCAGAGACCCCCAAATGGGTAGATGGCTCCAGTACATAAAAGGAATGACATCCAAGATCTCTGTCTAGTTTAGTGCAGTCTTAACCCTTTAAGACCTACCATAGAACCAAGTCCGCCAGAGCTTATATTATATTTTTACATGGTGTGGTGCCATTTTTGGGAGCATTTCAAGTTGCTATACATCAATACAGCTGTTATAGCCCAGATTTTAATAATATGTATTCATTAAGTGCATAGTAATTACATAAATTGCAAAAAAGTGCAATAAACTACAAAAAAATTGAAAATCGTTTTTGCTTTTTTAACATATATTTTTAGTTAGAGAAATTTAAGAGGCTTATCCCTCAAAACTGTAAATACAAAAAAGTTGCACAAAATAGTTTCCTACCACAGGAAATTTATTTTGAGTGTCTTCATAGTTCTATTTTTGAAATACACCAATTTTTATATACTGCAGGAAAAACAAAAATAAATATTATACCGCTCCGAAGGTCGGACGGTCCTGATTCCCCAAGGACCCCAAGAAGGGACCGGTCCCCTCCAACTACCGACCAATAACCTGCCTCAGTACTACATGGAAGCTCCTGTCAGGCATCATATCGGCTAAGATGAACAGGCACATGGGTCAATACATGAGCGGGACACAGAAAGGAATTGGCAAGAATACCAGAGGCGCAAAACACCAGCTACTGGTAGACAGAACAGTCAGCCGAGACTGCAAGACCAGACTGACCAACCTGTGCACTGCCTGGATTGATTACAAGAAGGCCTATGACTCAATGCCCCACAGCTGGATACTGGAATGCCTAGAATTGTACAAGATCAATGGGACCCTAAGAGCCTTCATCAGGAACTCAATGGGGATGTGGCGTACAACACTAGAGGCCAACTCCAAGCCCATAGCACAAGTCACCATCAAGTGCGGGATCTACCAAGGAGATGCTCTGTCCCCACTGCTGTTCTGCATAGGCCTGAACCCCCTCAGTGAGATCATTAACAAGACTGGCTACGGATACCGACTACGGAACGGAGCAGTTGTCAGCCACCTCCTGTACATGGATGGGAGAAGTGTAGTCGGATGGTAACAAAGAGAGGGAAGGTAGTCAGAACTGAGGGGATTGAACTACCAGAAGGCAACATTGCAGACATATAGGACAGTTACAAGTACCTGGGGATCCCACAGGCGAATGGGAACAATGAAGAGGCCGCTAGAAAAGCTGCAACCACCAAGTACCTGCAGAGGGTCAGGCAAGTCCTGAGGAGTAAGCCGAATGGTAACAACAAGATCCGGGCCATCAACACGTACGCCCTGCCCATGATCAGGTACCCTGCTGGGGTAATAGGCTGGCCAAAAGAAGGAGATAGAAGCCACAGACATAAAGACAATAAAGCTCCTTAACATGCATGGAGGGTTTCACCCTAAGTCCAGCACCCTGAGGCTGTACGCTAAGCGGAAGGAAGGGGGCCGGGGACTGGTGAGTGTCAGCACCATAGTCCAGGATGAGACAACGAACATCCAAGAATACATTGGGAAGATGGCCCCAACTGACCGAGTGCTCAGTGAATACCTCAGGCAGCAGAAACCCAAGAAAGAGGAGGGAAACGAGGAACCATCATGGAAGGACAGGCCCCTGCACGGTATGTACCACCAACAGATAGAGGAGGTGGCTGATATCCAGAAATCCTACCAGTGGCTGGACAAAGCTGGACTGAAAGACAGCACAGAGGCACTAATCATGGCAGCACAAGAACAAGCTCTGAGTACAAGATCCATAGAGGCTGGGGTCCCAGATATAAACCTAGTGGGAGTATCCCCCCATAGAGGGACAAAAGGACCCCCTCATGATCCTCTACCTAATCACATGAGCCAAGGTGTGAAAACGGGTGTGGGTCACAATCAGCAAAGGTTTCGGGTGAGCTCATTGTGAAACCTGGCCCCACCCCATCATGTGATTTCCTGAGGCCAGATGGCCCAGGATGTGAGTGGGCGTTAAGGCGTCTGGCAAGGGATCTCAAAACTGGATTATAGATGGCAGACAGCTGGTGTCTTTGCTCAAAGATGGTCGCTCACAGTGGACAAAAATGGCGTCTTTCACTCCTCTTTCTAACCATCTGTCCTCTCTGTCCAAAATGTGAACATTGGCATCCTTAAGATGCAGATGGACTGCTGAGTCTTGTCCTGTGGAGGTGGCTCTTCTATGTTGTGTCATGCGCTTGTGAAGTGGCTGTTTGGTCTCTCCGATGTAGAGGTCTGGGCATTCCTTGCTACACTGTACAGCATACACCACATTGTTAAGTCTGTGTTTAGGAGTTTTGTGTTCGGGATGAACCAGTTTCTGTCTGATTGTGTTGCTGGGTCTGAAGTACACTGGGATGTCTTTTGCTTTCCTTTCCAAAAACTCTTACAGATTCATTCATAACCAAGTTATTTGTTATGGACTTCTCATGGGCCAAGATCAGAAAATTCCTCTTTCTTTAACGTAACAAAAGTAAATAATCTTTACTAAAATCGCTGAGATTATATCAGTATATGAAACGTAGAGAACTGTTGAGGGCAGAGTTGAAAGCTGCTTGATGCCTGCTTCTGTGCTCACAGTGTTGTGTCTGTCTCCTGCAGACTGTTAATGTCCAGATGCTCCTTGCTGAGCTCACTCTCTTCAGTTGCTTGTCGGATATTGGTCACAATGGCCACCTTCCTCATCTTTGCCCGGAAAGACTTACAGAGGAAAAAGTAAACAACAGGGTCCAGGCAGACATTGAAAACTGCCACCATGGTGGTCACCTCCATTACATAGTTCAAGACTGAGCCTACAGAGTCATTGCTCCACAGAAGACTATAGGGAAGACGAGCCAGGTGATAGGGGACAAAACAAACACAGAAGATGCTGACCAGCACTAACATGTTCCTGCGAGACTTCACAAGCTTCTCGGAGCCAGAGGAGGCCAGCTGACTCTGCTGTGCCTGCAACACCCTGCGGAGGTGCTGTAGTAGAAGAAGACCATACATATGGAGACCAACAAGAAGATAATGGGAGACAAAGTGTGGATGATTGTGAAGAACAGCTTGATTGATTCACTAAAGAAGGGATCACAGCAGCTGGGGTTAGAGGTCACAGGGGTCTGGGTGATGAAAAACAGGATGGTGTATGTCACAGTCGGAACCAGGAGAAACACCCAGGTAATGATGGAAATGATGTGGGCAGTTTTTGCTGTCTGCAGGATGTGAGTTCCTGAAGGCTGGATGATCTTTAGATACCTGAAGAGAAAAGAAACGGGGGTTGAGTAGATGAATCAGTCACTATTCATTAATCAGTCACAGTGGTTTCAGATCAGTAGAAATTAATAAAGTCAAAAGTGATGTCAGTGATTTAGTCAGGCTATCAGAATTTGTAGTAAAAACATTGTCATGAAATGCAGTGTGAATTCAGTAAAAGGTTCCTCTAATCTTCATCATGACGTTTACCTGTTGGCAGCGATGTAGCCCATGAATATGATGCTGGCGTACATGTTGAGGAAGATGGCACAAGCTCCAAAACTACAGTAGAGCTGCCGAATGATGACAGAGCTGCTAGCATAGTGGGTGATGCGGAGTGGCAAAGAGAGGCAGAGCAGGAAGTCAGCAGCTGTCAGGTTTTTCAGGTAGATCTTCAAGCTGCTCGATGCCCGCTGCTGTGCTCCACAAAAGTGAAACTTCATGATGAAGCCATTGAGGATTAAACCCACCTAAAGAAACACAGAAAGGATGGAGAGGACAGGACTTCAGCACATACACTGAGAACCTTTAACACATTTTTAACAGTGATCTGATGATTTGAAACTTACCAGGAACACTAGACTGTAGACCAGCATAAAGAAAGGATAGGCTGAAGTGTTAACAGCATCGCAGGTCTGGTTGGAAGATGAAGTCACATTTATTGTGTCAGCCATGTTTCTGGAGCTGAAAAATAAATCCAATTTATTGAGTTCAAGAAGGAGCAGTCATAGAAATCCACTGCTCAGTCTTAATAACCAATTATACTAACACTTTATCATTAGTATTGTTTTTTAATTCATTCTTCTTTTTTTCAGATCTAAATCACCATACTCGGTGTCTCAAGACCAGTGTTGGGCAAGGTACTTTGAAAAAGTAATTACTAGGAAAAGTAACCATTGTGTTACTTTAAACTTTTACTGACCCTCTGGGGTCCAGGGTTTAATTGGCCGTTTTTGACTACTTTGCCTACTTGGCTCTCTTTTCAGCACGATCTCACATGTCTGAATGTACTTTTTTTCTTTTTCATTTTGACATACTGCATTAACACAATTGATCTGAACACAGACAAAAACCATAAATTCAGAATCAAAGTCATAGTTTTTATATTTAAAAAATCATTTTCGTGGCTGCAGACGACGAGCTGCAGAGGATGGCGTGGGAGCCGGCGAAGAGCAGCTGCCGGCGACGGCGTTTGAGCCGACGGAGGAGCAGCTGCAGGCGACAGCAGGTGCGGGAACCTCTGGCTGAAGGCAAGTGGGGTCAGCAGGTGCGGGAACCTCTGGCTGAAGGCAGGCTGAAGGCACCAGGGAAGGTGGGAGGGCATGAAAGGCTGGATCAGGAGATGGAAGCGGTGTTGGATTAGCAGGTGGACAGGCTAGCTGTTCCGAGCCTCCAGAGCATGAGGGCACTAGCTGGAGAGTCTCAGCTGAGCCTCTAGGGGGTCAGGTGGAATTCTGGCTGCCCTCACCCTGGGTGCTAGGAAAGCCACGGAGGTGGCTGGGCAACAGTCACCCCACCTGAAAAACAGGAATGGGTGTGGAGGTAGACTGGGTCACAGTTGCCCTCGTCCTGGGAGCTGGCACAGGAGTGAGTGCTAGCTGGTTCCCTAGCCACCGAGGAGGTGCTGCAGGGACAGGCCTGAGCAATAGCTGCCCTCACCTGAGAAAGTGAAACAGATGGAAGGGAAGGCAGTCTCTGAGCTGCCCTGCTAGCAGAAAAGGTTGACTGATGGGTGAAATGGTGATTGAGTGGGAGAAATTACCAGGTTTAGCAGTGATAATGTCTTGAGCAGTGGCCTGTGATAGGCGGGCGATGTGATTGCGGCGAGCGAGGAGCGAGCAGCGAAGAGAGAGCGGCCAAAGCTTGGCAAGTGACACCCACTCTCCGCGGCGAATGCTCCGAAGCAGGTGAGGCAGCAGGTGGAGGACCCTGGCATCTTCGAGGGCCGCCCAGAGCCAGACGAGTCATGTCGAAGATTTGCTCCCTCTCCAGAAATAGCCACTGTTTCCCCTGAAGCTTCTCTGCCCACATGGAGAGCGCTGCCTCCTGCCGCTCGAAAAAGTCAGAGTCCGCTGGGTCAAAAGTGTGTCTTCTTGGCACCGGTCGCGTCATTCTGTCAGGACCCATACGGTAAAAAAATACATTTTTCCTGGCCAAAATATATTTCAAATATATGGTAAATATATTTTGTATTTGTGATGCTCCAAAAAAATATATTTTTGAAATTGAAAATATATTTCTTTCAAACCAAAATACATTTCAAAACATATTTTAGGGTGAAGAAAATACATTTCCAACCTTACAGTAGAATGTATATCAAAGTATCCTTTATTTAAAATATATTTAGTGCAATAATGATGATAATGATAACAATACTAAAAGTAACATGTTTTATGCACATCTGCAAAAAACAGTTGGATTCAAACAAAACAGAGTCAAAGGTCTATCACGAATTAGGTTGTTTATTCATTTGCTTACAGTATTTCACATTACACAATATCTCACTATAATGTAGCGTTCATTGACTTTGAAATTATCTGTCAGTGATACAGTAAACAAGATACAACAACTGCTATGTACACTTTAGTTTTTGACAATATATACAATTTAGTACTTAAAGGAACACACTCCACTGTTTTGGAAATAGGCTCATTCTCCACCTCCCTCAGAGTTAAAAATGCAGCGTCTTCTTTCTAGATCCGTACGTTAATAGGGCTCTGGAGCGTGATCTTACGGGATGGGGCGTAGCCAGGATTTTTGGTCAAGGCGCCATATTAGCAGGCCAAACAAATGCTTGCTGTGTGGTCGGTTGTAATGTTAGATTGCACTACCGACAAAGGAATAAGCTTGAAAACAGGCTCTCTTTTCATTGTTTCCTCACCTGGAAACATCATGAGGGAGCTTATGTGTTGGATGTTACCAAAAGAAGGCGTCTAGCCTGGATAGCAGCTGCGAGACGAGCTGATATTCAGTTCTCTACCAGCCACAGATATCTGTTGGTGTGCTCCAGTATTTTCATTCAGGTAAGTTCTAAATAAGTTCATATTATTATTTATAGCCTGTTAATTTTATTTTCAATAGCACAAACTTAGAACAAACATGCAGAACTACCTTCTATTTATAGAGTTGCTAATTATTTGGCATTATTGCAACAAACCAGCCTATGAAATGAATGAAACAAATCCTGACTGGGTTCCAACACTAACATGGGCACTACGAAATCCTGCTTCAAACTACATGCTACATACCACCATGCCAATCAGATTACTTCTTCCATGTGAGGGTAAAAAGGTGACCTTCCTGGATAAGATGGCAAAGGTTTGCTGCGTTTTGGTGAACATGTGCCCCAGTGTGGTAGTAAAACCAGGGAAAAATGCTCTTGTTAAATACTTTTAAGTCTTGTGCTGTTTATGTAGTGATAAGTTTTCAAAAGAGACAGTAAATTACAGAATGCTAGTAGTGGGTGATATTATACAAATGCTGTCATGATTTTATGTGAACATTTTGTCATTTGTAAACTATACATAACATTTTTTCTACATTGTAACTGATGTGATGTTCGACAAAGTGCTTTTAATTAAAAATAGGCAAACATTTCTTTGTTTCTTTATTCAACTTTTGAACAGTGGTATTTAGTAAGTACATATTCAGTAAATGCAAAGTATTTACATGGCCCCCTAAATTAAAACATTATGGGTTATTCAGAACAGAACTATGCTTGGAAAAATATTGTCCCATCAGTTGATCCAACTCCTCCACAGTAGCAGGTGGAACCTTTCTTTTTGAGGATGGCTTCTTTTACCTGTCACAACGAATGGTCTGTTTATGTTTTGATCAAGAACCTTTTTTTTGGGCAGCTGAAGAGGAGAAGTCTATCTTATGGCCAACCTCTGGCTGTATCTTGGTCATATTACCCAGCAAAACCCAGTATGCAGGTTTATCTGTAACAGTCCTTGTGCCACAGATCCTCACTGTTGCTTCTACATTAAACAGAAGAGCAGTGACATGGCTGCAAGTCTCCACGACTCTAGCCATACAGCTGCAGTGGGCGGCTTCAACCTTCCCTGTGATGCTCACAATGACCTGTGGCTGCAATGCTGCAATTCAGTCTTTAAGAGTGCAGGACCTAAAACACACACGGACAAAGTTCATTTAAAGACAAGAACTTTAATAAGCCAAGTCCGACACAAATGTGTTTTATTTACTTTCAAATCCATTTATCATAAATGTAACAAATAAAGTGTTTTTATGTATCCATCTATAGAACGCTGCATGTTATATTCTAAATCTGCATGTTTCTTTTTAGAAACCTATCAGCAAAAAATGAATCTAAAGTATGTAATGCAAGGATGTAATCACTTTCAAGAGGGAGAAAACATAAAGTTCGACTTTAAGTGACAACTATGGACACCTAATATGACAAGCAGATTCTACTTGTGTCAAGCCAGCCTCCAATTCGAGACTTGCAGTCAAGCCAGCCTCCAGTTGATTTTACGTTCCCTGTGTATTCAAAGTATTACGGGAATGGATGTGGAAACCGGATTTCAAAATAAAAGCCAACTTCGAGTGAATTAACAGATATGTTAAGAACATAATAACATATAATTTAGGCTTTTTTTTTTTTTTTTAGAAACTCTAATGTTACATCTATATGACACAGCCTTGTACCCTAATTGTGCCCTGTCACTATCAAGGCCATCTTATTTTGGATTTCAAAGTAAAAGCCCTGTGAATCTTCATTTTTGAACTACTCTTTCAATGAATTCATAATGCTCTTAAAAGCAAAAGTCGTATTTCCAAATACTATTTGAACTTTGTATCAACACTTTCCAACCGCAGTCTTTTTCACAGTAATACCATATCAAATAAATTCTTTCTGATTTTGCTTTTCATAGTAATGGCCCTTTGAAATTGCCGATATTTGACTTAATCTCCTAACGATTCAAAATGCTCTAAAATGAAAAATTCTTGTTTCCACAGGGTAATTCCACTTTAGATCAACAGTATACAACCCCGCAGTGATACCATATCAATATCAAGTCATTCTGATTTTGCTTTCAAAAATAAAAGCCTTTTCAAATTGTCCATAATTGACCTACCTTTCAGTGATTTCAAAATGCTCTAAAATGGAAAATTCCTGTTTCCACAGGGTAATTCCACTTTAGATCAACAGTATACAACCTCACGATGTTACCATATCAATATCAAGACATTCTGATTTTGCTTTCAAAAATAAAAGCCCTTTCAAATTGTCCATAATTGACCTAACTTTCAGTGATTTCAAAATGCTCTAAAATGAAAAATTCCTGTTTCCACAGGGTAATTCCACCTTAGATCAACAGTATACAACCCCACAGTGACACCATATCAATATCAAGTCATTCTGATTATGCCTTCCAAAATAAAAGACTTTTCAAATTGTCCATAGTTGACCTACCTTTCAGTGATTTCAAAATGCTCTAAAATGGAAAATTCCTGTTTCCACAGGATAATTCCACTCTGTATTTACAGTATACAGCCCCACAGTGATACCATATCAATATCAAGTCATTCTGATTTTGCTTTCAAAAATAAAAGCCTTTTCAAATTGTCCATAATTGACCTAACTTTCAGTGATTTCAAAATGCTGTAAAATGGAAAATTCCTGTTTCCACAGGATAATTCCACTCTGTAT